CTCTTCCTTTTAGATCGTGGTGCATAGGAACTGCATCTGCAGCCAGCCCTGGAGGCAAACTAACCTCTTTCTTCTTTTTACCAGTACCCCAGAAATTCTGTTCTAAGCATCTTTTGAGTTGCCACTTTGGGCCCCCAATTAGGCTCCCACAATAGCCAGTAGTGTTACTTCAACTGCCTCAAATATCTCATTTTTACCTGCTCTCTAATGCAAACACACACCACTCCAATTCTACCACATTAGGTGGGAGGGGTGTGCATGTGATTGCTAGTATTTTTTCACATTAGTAACGGCAAAATTTTTCAGGAAACATTGAAAATTCCTCAGCCTTATAATGGCCTTTACCATCTGCTCTCTTCCTTCCCTTGGATTCACCAAGTACTGTGCTCTGAGATGCCTCTGCACTCACACTGTTCCACCAGCCATCATCTGCCTCAGAAGACCGACAGCCACAAGACAGAAATGCTCTGGAACTTACAAACCTTGCAGAATAGGAGGCTCAGTAAGTGTTGACTGAAATGAGCAATTTGTTATACAGAAGACAAGAATTTGGTAAAACCAGCCAAGATGGTGCACTCCTATAATCCCAACACTCCAAGGATGAGGCAAAAAGATTGTGGTGAGTTCAAGGCCAGCCTGGGCTACACAGTGAGCTCAAGGCCAGTCTGAATTGAAGAGTGAGACCTTCTCAAACAAACAAACAAAAGAATTTGGTAAAACCATACCCTGCTGATAAACACACACACACTACACCAGAATAAGCATAATCTTTGTCTCTGTTGTCTATTTTCAAATAATGCCTACTTGTATGAAAGAGCCTCTAAGTGCTGGGAGTCCGTACAAAATCACACTACTCACCTGACAGTCAAGATCAGTCTGACCGCATCCTACGCTAAATACGCCAGCACTTACAGCTACAACTTTTCCTTATGTAAAAGAAAACAAGGAAGGTATCCCCTCCTGGGATGCACTGCACAAGTTATTCTTAATCAGCAATATGTAGTTAATTCAGATACTGGTCATGTATTTTACTTATGACTTTATTTTACATTTTATTGGAACTGTAGGTTCAGCATGTAGATATTACATCATGAAATTTCTGTAATCTTCTGAGTACTTTGAATTTTAAAAACACTATGTATAATATGCTGCTTCAAATTAAATCAAATAAAATTTGTAATGTAAGTTATTAAAATACAAGATTTTTAAGTAGACGCTGAACAGACTTAGTTGAAATATAAGACATCAAATATCACATATAGTGGATCCAGTCATGATGCACATCTGCAATCTCAGCACTTGGGAGGCTGAGGCAGGAGTATCACTGTCATTCAAGGTTAGTCTGAGTTATATAGTGAGTCTCGGTCTCAAAGAACAATAAGGAGCTATCATATAGCTATCCATAACAGTTGATAATGATAAACAACTACATATGGCACTGACTTATTATTTTTACAACAATATTATTATTTTTATTATTATTTTTAGACTGTTTTCCTACTTATAAAAAAATTTACCATAAAATAGTATACTGTGTTATCCTGACAGACTCATACATATATGTATATGTTACTATGTTTACATTAGTTTTCTTCTATGCTGGCTTTAATTCCATGTTGTTTTATTCATCAGCCCTAGAAGCAATAGGCTGTCTCATTTATACAAGTGGTTTAGCCTAGGTGTACAGTAGGTTATATTACCTAGGTCTGTAGAAGTGTACTCAGCTGTGTCTGTCCTGCAGCCTCCAGGCTGCTTGCCTTGGTTTTTTTTTTTAATGTTATAATAGCTAACACTATAAACACAGAGGAAGTTTCATACATTAACCATATGTATTTTATATGTGGTCCAAGACAATCCCTCTTCCCTCAGCGTGGGTCAACAGGCCAAAAGGTTGGGCATGCCTATAAGGTGTTCTCCCACCTTTCTCTGAACTTATCCTTGTTCTTAAGTGATGCATGAGAATATGGCAATGCCTTTGTTACTTATCTTGTAACTTTAAGACTCTGTGTTCACTGAGAATAATGCACTTAGTAAGCTTGGTATAAATGGTAAGTATCTGGGGCTGGGGATTTAGCTCAGCGGCATAAGCACCTGCCTTGCAAGCAGGCGGTCGTGAGTTCGATCCCTGGTACCAATAAAAATGAAAAAGACAAAAAAAAAATTGGTAAGTATTCTGTACAAAATAACTAAAATATTAGTTGAATAAATGAATACATGCTTCCTTCAAGTTTAAAGGAACCTTGAGTTTTAATCGTTTTGGCATATGGTGATTTTAGTTATGTTCATCATTTCTACTTGCTCTATGATTTTTGTCAATTTTTCACATAAAATGCTTCTGTCAGCCCCCACCTTTCTGAACAGAAGAAACACTAATACCTTTTTCCACTTCTTGTTAAGCAGATCACTTCTCATGATCAGCTAAACTGAGCTTTCACACTAGGACTGTTCGTCTTATCAAAGTAAACACTCAGTTTGCAGCTATAAGCAAATGTCTTTCTTCCCTCATGTATGTCATGTAACATTAGCATTTATCTCAAATTTTAATTCATTTCATCATGGGGAAATAATAGCAACATTAATTTAATAAGTACTGACCATATACAGGCACTTTTTTCCATACCGTTCTTATTTACATAGAAAAGTTTATGAAAATGTTATCTAAAACTAAATTAAAATAATGTCAAGCGTGGTGATTCATGCCTGTAATCCCAGCATTTGGGAGGCTGAGGCAAGAGGATCCCTTTGAGTTCAAGGCCAGCCTGGGCTACAAAGTGAGTTCAAGGCCAGCCTGAACTGCATAGTGAAACGCTGTTTAAAAAACCAAAAACAAAAAACCATTATACTTAGATAACCCTTCCTGCCTATTAGACTGACTAAAACCTAAAGATTTGTTGGAAGGCTATGAGGAGCCATGTACTCTTCTACCCTTGGAATGGAAAAGTGTACAAATGCTATGAAGACAATTGAGCAATACTTTATTGCACTGTGTACACATCCACTCTTTGATCTAGCAAGTTTACATCTAAGAATCTATTCCAAAGACACAATAGCTAAAATGCAGTAGAACATAAGCACAAAGCAGGATTCCCTGTAACAGTGAGACTTATAATAATCTTAATGCCCATCAATAGGAGGCTGGATAGGTCAATGATGACAAAGCCATTCAGTGGGGAATCACAGAACTGGAAATACATTTCTCTTTCCCTCCCTTCCTTCTTTTTTAACTTCCTTTCTGCTTTCTAGTGCTGGGCATTGAAATCCTGAGCTTTCATAGTGAGCTCTTTTTTATTTTCATTTTTGAGACAGGAGCCCCTAAATTACTACCAAGTTGCCCAGGCTGGGCTCAAGACTCCCAATTCTGCTGCCTTAGCCCCCCCAACTCCCAAACTGCTGGGACTACAGGCATGTGACACTAATCTCACCAGACTTAATAAACAATAATCTATTTTTTAGATTAACTATACAAAGAAGGACCAGGGTACATAGGACAGGGATAGAAGTCAGATTTCTTTTTTTCAAAAAAATAGGGAAATATATGGAGCTATATATGATACATTAAAAAAATCACATATTTAATGCATATATTTTGGTGAATCTGGAACACCAACAAACTTCTTTAAATGTATCATGATTCACAGATTTGAATTTAGACTTTTTCTGCATATTGAAACTCCAAAAACTGCTTAGCAGTGAGCACCATTAGCGCTCACTCAGAGATTCCAACATACTGCTTCACGTCAAAAGATACCAGGGCTCATGGAAATGCCTGATTTAGGCCCAGAACATGAATTGTAAAACATGATCCCTTAACATTTTGAAATATCATATAACAAGAAAATAACCAAAGATTATTAAGATTAAGGGAATATTTGGCATTAACAAATAAAGTAACTTAAATTTCACACACTGGGAAGGCTCCGTATTTCCCTTTATAGAAATATTTCAGCTAATAAATGAATAGAAAGTGAGCACTGAGAGTAACTCCATTTTGCAATTCTTAATGAGGTAATGGCTCTGCTATTGATCTGGTACACTTTATGTACCTCAAGGGAAATGTTGCAAAACCAATGACTGGGTCTCTTCAATAATCTGCAGTGACAAGTGTAACAATGAATGAGGAACTTTAATGGACAAATATGTAAAGATCTTGAAGACTGAAGTAAAAAAAAAGTAAGAAGAACAACAATATGCTACCAATTAAAAAGAAGAAAATATATTTTTTCTTTATAATCATAGACTGTTTCTTAAAAAATACACAAGAAATAAAGCTTTTTTTTTAGTTACCTTTTGGGTGACAGAGAACAATACAGGAAGGGCATTTTCTTTTTTTAAATATAGATCATTTGGTACCTCTGGAATTCTACAGCATTTTAACTTACACTTGCATGAAATCAAAGAATAAAATCATAAATTAAAGACTCATGGATCTGGTAATTTTTATTTCATTAAAGTATTTATGAATAAGATATTATAACTACATACTTGGAAATATTTAAACAAAAAGCAAAGATAACAGAAAAATGTTAACAAGTGTTAAGTACAAATACAGGGTGCAAAAAACACTATTATGGAAGTTTATCTACTTTTCATGATCCAAAGTAAAAGAAAAATATTAAATGTAGTAAAAATAAAACATTATTACATTCTACTTAGATATTCTTTATCAAAGAACTAAGTCTGAGACTTGCTCTTTCATCACCAAAATGGGCAAAAGTTACAGACTATTACCAAACAAGATTTGCAGATGGAATCCAAAGGGAAAGAGTGAATGGACGTGTGGCAAAGTCATTAGCTAGGGCAATTAATTACATACTCGACATCTCTATGTCAATGAACAACTTAAAAAACAGTTTTAGAAAACACTTCAAGGAATGAATCCAATAGCCAAATAAACGGATGAAGGATTTTATAACCCCACGCTCCTTCCTTTTGAGATAACTTGGGTGTTTGTTAATAAGCAATACCTTGACACAAGCGAAGGCAAACTGAGATGCACTTACTTTTTGCTTGCCTCACAGACGTCTGTGATATTGGAGAAAAGATGATGTCTCTCAGTTTTGGTCATTGTATCACTCAGTTCTTTAGAATTTTTAAACATTCGAATCAAGATCTCCAAGCTGAGCAAATACGAATGTTCAGACGATATGACTTCAAAGATTGCCTCGTAAGAAAGAGAAATAAGTAAATTGTTCATTATTTTAATTGAAGAACTAATAAAGCTCTCACTGTTCTGCTATAAGAATGTGGTGTTCTGTGAACTACAAAAAAAGGTGAGAATTAAGAAACGTACCATTAAATTACTGCTTTTATAGAGGCACATATATCTAAATACTGAGACAGTGTTACTTTCTGTATTATAAATACTGAAAAGGAAAGAATCTAGACGACATTGCATCCTGAGGTCATGCCTTTGCCACAGGGTAGAATCTATGGCAGGAAAGCTGGGCATGTCATAAAATCTCAGTGTGATGTTAATTAACCTTCAGGGTCATCTCTAGCCCTGCTTTCAAAGCCTGCTGCTTCCAGGGACAGTAAGAATTTATGGTCATCTCTTGGAATCCAGAGAAAATTTCTCACAAATACCTTACTTTGCTCCCCTTTACTGTGTGCTCTTTTTCTGTCTCCGTCTTTAATCCAACTAATGTGCAGTCAGTAACAAATATTCTGGCATGAATTCTGCTCTTGAAGGCTCTTACGAGCCACAGGAATTCTTTTATTTAAACTCACACAATTGAAAATAATTCTGTCCATTCAACAAGCCACCTCCCTTCTCTTGCTAGTGTCTCAAGAAGGAGTAAAGGACCCTCCGCAGACTCCTGGTGTCAATGCCAACACCTTGGTGTAAGGATTTCATCTAGCTCCTCAGCAAAACCAATTCAGATCTAAGGAGGGTGATGCAGGAGACTTCCTCCTCAGGGAGGGGTGGTACACATCTGTCGTGGTGAGCTGCCTGGCAGCCATGCATTCAGCACACTGACTGCAGGGTGCCTGCACCGAAAGTACCTCCAAAAAGCACACAGGAGACCCGGCTGCCTGGGAACAGGACAGACACAGGCAGGTGGAGGCCCAGTTGCTAAGAAGTGGCCCATGTTTTTTAAATCAGGTTAGCAGCAATAATCCCTTTTTGCATCTGTAAAGTGTTAGAGACTTAGGTCTCCCTTAGTTGTGCTGGCTTAGCATCATCTGTGCTCCAGGAAATTAAATGATGTAACTTCCCAAAGAACAAAGAGAAAGATCATTAAGAGCTTCATTTAATGTGTATCTCATATAAGCCTATTTAGTCAATAGAATTATCTGCCCAAAATAAAATCAAACTACAGAAAACTCTTTACTTTGGCCAAAAATAATGGGTTTCATATCACTGATAGATATATGGCCTTAGAACTACTTCAAATGCATTCAACAGCAAAGACTGTTTTAAATCAAATGCAAAATATGATTTAGACAAAAAAATGATGAATTAAATAGAATAGATCATATGAGAAGGCAAGTGGTATCTCAATTTAATAAGTAATTGTTAAAATATCCTTCAATAGGGCTGTGAATGCCTAAAGACAAACCAGGTTAAACCTGTTGCAAACAGCTACACAGGAATAGAAAGGAACCACAAAGTTAAAATTGAAGTTGTCATTAACTTGTTATGTTACAAATCTGCATAAATATTATCAAAATATAGTTGAAACAGATCAGGTTCAAATACAGAAGATTAACAGAATAGATATGTTTTAACGGATTTGGGACCTTGGAAAAGTTCTGGAGTATACCTATAAAATGAGACAAAAACGCTGTTTATGCCACAGTGTTAAAAATAAAGAAAAGAATACTACCCACTGTCCATCATCAGATATAGAATTTAAAAGATGATACAGAATAGTATATAGTGGTTGAAATGATTTATCTGCATTAACATGCATTAACATGAATAAATCTCAGGGCTGGGGATTTAGCTCAGCAGCATAAGCACCTGCCTGGCAAGCATAAGCGTATTACGTATATAAACATAATACATGTAAACTTTGCATTTTGGTACTCATTTTTAAAATTTGAATTTGAATTTTTTGGTACTGGCAATCAAACTGAGGACACTGCACTTGCCAGACAGGCACTTGTGCTATGTCCCCAGCCCCTTTGGTACATTTTTAGATGACAGGAAGCTTGCAGAGAGTTCAGAGTTCCTGTTAGCCATTACAAAGTTGCTCCTGATCAGAGTACATTACGTACCTGAGGTACATTAATCTATAGACTAATGTATATACTTCATTCAGGTATCACCAGTTTGTCAGCAACATCATTTTTTTAACTCCAGGATCTAACTTCTGTTTCATTTGTTGGAATATTTCTTCCAGTTTAATCACTTCAACTATATGTTTTATTGTTTAAATGCAAATGTTGAAATATACAAATATTTGCTTTGCTGAGGGCTCATGCTTCTGTACCTTTATTTAACAATGGCTATTTGCTAATTTGGTAAACAGAAAACAAATACATTCCCAAGGGACAACCCTGAGCAAGTGCATCTAGAAAGTGAAAGCCCAAAATCACAGACCCCTCTCGTCACACGTAGAGCTCTAACACACTGTTTGTGAGACACATACCTCTTGTCTCTTCCTTTCTTCCTGGCTTACTGTCTGAGACAAACCATTTCTTTTCACCTAGGGGAAAAAAAAGAGTTGAACCTATTTACTTTGACAGTTTATTATGTGAGGTATAACTGATCTTCAAAAATGAAGATACTATCCAAAATGCTGAGGTCAGTACACATCTTAACATTTAGTTATCAAAACTGTCAAATAATATTTAATCACAGTCATGAATTAACAGTTAAACATTAAAGAAATAAAAAGTGCCTAGAATATTAATCCTATCAGGTTGAGAGTTTTGCTCTGATGCTAATTCTAGCTATTTCTAAAGTACATATCAAGCTAATCTCTTAAATCATAAATGAAAAAACTTAATATCAAAGGAAATGACCTGATGACTGTAAATTCATTGTCCAGGATCACACATAAAAGTTATTTTAACAGTGTTTTCTACAAAGACACCAATGGAATGAATACCAGGGTTCTTTAGAAAAGCCAATTGAACAAAAGAACAAACCCTTCCCTCATCTCCTGGCCAAACACCAGAAGTTTACTGGCATACTTAAATTGACAAAAAAGGATGTTAATCTAATGTTCTTTTGGTTTGTTTATTTGTTTGTTTGTTTTTGAGACAGGGTCTCCCTGTGAAATTTAGGCTAGCCTCAAACTCATGGCAACCCTTCTGCCTTAGCCTCTGAAGTGTTGGAATTATAGGATGTGTCACCACACCAGGCTAAAATAAACTTTTTGCTATCCTTCTTAAAAAAATTTTCAAACATGTTTCCTAGGCCCATTTTAAGATGACAACTAAAATTTTGTCATAAATGAAAAAGATGTATTTCTGATAATTTTAAATCTAAATACATAAAATAGAAAATGTTACTATATTCTTCCAAATGTGTCCAGTGTTGCATAAAAACTGTTATGATTTTATATTCACCATCATTCACTTAAAAATAAATAAGTTTTCCTTCACAGCTGGAGATTTTATATTCTTTTCTCTCATTGAAATTATATTCCTGTGTCAATTTCTCCTCTAAATTTCCTAATATTCTATAATCCTATGAGTTATGGTCTCCTATCATCATTTTACAATGTTTTCTAAAACTTCCTATGACCACTGATCTCTGAGTACAAAGAGATTCTCTTGGATTGTACAATCACCACAAATATCATTAATAACATGACCAAAACAACAAACTTCAATGTTAATTCAGTAAGTATTAAAAGCAAAATCTAGTTAAGAATGCCCTTGGCTACAGAAGTTAAACACTTCAAGAGCAAATTTACAGATAGTGACATTATTAGCAGGTTGGGGTCTCAGGAGATTTAAAGAATTGAGCAGCATGTGGATTCTCCAAACCAAAGATGGCAGAATGCTAAGCAACAACAACTTAGTTTCTCCGAGATTTGGAATCTAAAACACTGGAAGAAGAAAACTTGGGGAAGAAAACAAGAGAAGTAGAGTTCCCAGAAGAAGTGAACAGAAAAATTAAAAACTACAGAAAATTCGGGAAGACAACATAACACAGAGAAGGCAAGGGACAATATGTACTTTCTCCCAGCTCCCAGTCTCCCAGGAAAGGGAGACTGAATCCATAAAGACAAAATGAAAGTTGGAAACTTTAGAGGGCTTCAGGGAAAAACACGATGGTAGAATGGACTAGTGTATTCTGTGATGTGCAGGGAGAGTATGGGATTCCGCTCCCACTTGAGTCTTTGACAGTCAACAGCTGGCAAGTGATTCAGGTCCCGGCACCCACCACATCCCTGGAAAGAGTCTCAGTAAGACGTTATTCTGGGGAAGAGTTGATTGTTTGAAACTAGGAGTTGGAGAAGCTGCAGGATAGCTTCGCTTCATGGCTCCCAGTGTCACATTCACACAGTGACTGGGTGACAGACACTCCCAGGAGACAGCCACAACCAATAAGGTACTACAAAGAGACCCCCCAAGGGGTCTGGGCTAAAGTCAGAAGCTGGGCGCAGCCTGAGCTGCTCTGGATTTGAAAGTCATAGCATTGGCGCACTTGCCCCTATGCTTGCTACAGCCTGCTGGTGCCTGCCTCCAGCACAGATGTGGGGTCTGACAGTCTGGTTTATCTACCAGCATGCGCACAGGCATGTCTTGACTTGGACACAGCCACAAAATTGTAGATCCCAGAAGAAAATCACACATCCAACATCAGAGAGAAATTTCTTTTTTTTCCTGCCTGTTCTCTTTCCTCTCTCCTCTCTCTGTCTCTCTCTCTCTCTCTCTCTGTGAGTAAGATGTTATTCTGGGGAAAGGTTAGTTTGGTAGTGTTTTCTGTTTTGTTTTATTGTTCCTTTTTTTCATCTTTCCTTTCCTCCTTTCTCTTTTAACAGTTCAGTAGAGTTTGGGAATTTTCCTTTGTCTTTTTCCTTGCTTCTTATCTGTTTTTGTTACTTCTTTTCTCTCATTTCTTGTTCCTCATGTAATATCTTTTTCTCTCACTTAAAAAAAAAATCTATTTCTTGGCAGTTTTCCTCTTACCTTTACCCAATTCTATAAGCATCTTTCTACTTATCAATTTAGGACCCTTCAAACCACTTTTCTCTTCTCATATCACATAATTTAAGATTTCAAATTTTTTAGTATCTTTAATATGCATATTTTAAATTATATAATGATGAGATTTTTAAAAAAAATCTTTAGGTGGTAACACTATAAAATTACTGTTGAATTCTTTTCTACCATTACTGAAGATACAGCTACAGCAGTTAGTATATTACAGCTGTAAGTCAATACCTGAGTTGTCTTAATGTTTATATCATAATTGTAGATTTCTTTTTTAGGGTTAAGGGTGGCCTATAATTGGTTCTTAAATGTATGTACCTTATTTGTCTTGGATGGCACTACTGTAGCTGATTTCCTTGATATTAACAGGGTTGCATAATTATTGCTATTAAAGGGATTTTATCTGTAAGCCAACTCTTAGGTTATTTTTGTGACATTAACAATACCAGAGTACATTCACAGAAACCTCAGTATTGGGCCAGTTACATCAGATCCTCCCCTCCCAAACTGACCAACGCAGTAAGATTTGAGGGCTTTAAAAGCTGACCACACTCAAAGTACATCACTGAAAAGCAACCAACTAAAGAGATGCCTATACTAATGACAAAGTCATTACACAACAAGGGTCCACAAACCCCAGCACAAAACAAAACAATAGACATATAACAAATGCAGGCTACACCTGGGTGTGGTGGCACACGCCTATACTTCCAGCACTGGAGAGGCTGAAGCAAGAGGATCATAGAGAGTTTGAAGCCAGCCTGTACTAAGTAGTAAAGCACTGCTTCATAAAAAAACAAAACAAAACACCAAAGCAACAAAATGTCTCCCCAAACTCCCAAGCCTCTTGTAACCAATCCAGAGGCCAGTCAAGAGGGAGAAAATTTCATATATATCACACACTCAAATTACTTGACTGGATAATGGAGGAGGTAGAAAATAGATCCAAGAGATATTCAGTAAGATCACAGAAGATATAACTAAACAGAAGCAATAAAATGATCTAGGAGCTTTCAGAAGACATTACTAAAAAGCTAGATGAGTTAAACAAAATGGTAAAAACATGAATGATCAGTTTAACAGATAATTATAGCCAATGAAAATGTTTCAATCAGAAATCCAGGAGATTCAAAATTATATTGAAAGTACAGGCAGCAGAAGTAACCAAGGTGCGGGGGTGGAGGGGATTTAGCTCAGCAGCAAAGCACCTGCTTGGCAAGTGGGAGGCTATGAGCTCATTCCCAGTGCGCGCGCACGCGCGCACACACACACACACACACACACACACACACACACACACACAAAATTGACCAATGTGAGGACAGAATTTCAGAAGTAAAAGACAACGATGTTTTCAAAGACCAACTTCTCAAGACACCTTAAAAGCAATAAAAGAACAGAAAAAGGGTTAGCTAGCTGATACAAAAACCATGAATCTATGAGTAACTAGAAGAAATGAAAAATCAGAAAACAACACATATGGCACAAAAGACCTGCTCACAGAACTAATGGCAGAAAACTTTACAAATATAAGGAAAGAGAGAAACATACAGATTTATAAGGCGCCCCGATCCCCAACAGCCAGGACCAAGAGAGCCTCTCCATGCCATATTATACTCAAAGTACCAGAAAGTCTTCACAGGAACAAAACCTTAAAAGCTGTTAGAGAAAGGCCAGAAATCATATATAAATGTTAACTGGTTAGAATTAGAGTAGACTTTACAACATAAACCTTAAAAACCAGGAGTGCTTGGAGCAAAGTGTTTCAAGCCCTAAAAGATAACTTTCAACTCCAGCTTATGTATCCTGCAAAAATTTCCTTCAAAATTGATAAAGAAATAAGGTATTTCCATGACAAAGAGCAACTTAGGAAATTCATGATCACCAAAAGCAGCATTACAAAATTTCTCAGGAATATCCTAGAAAAAAAAATGAAGCCAACAATTCCAATAAGTCAAAATAATAAATACACTTGGCAGGATGACCAGCAAAGCAAAAGAAAAAGTACAGAAAAATCTACAACGGGAAAATAATACAATGACAGGAATAAGTCAATATCTTTCAATAGTAATTCCCAATGTGAATAGTCTCCATTTACCAATCAAAAGACAGACTGGCAGAATGAATCAAGAAACAAAATCCAATCATATATAGTACTGTATACAAGGAATATATTTAATTCAAATAGAAATTTACAGATTAAAAAATAAAAGGATGGAAAACAATATTCCATGCCATAGGCATCTAGAAAAAAGCAGCAGTAGCCATCTTAGTAGCAGACAAACTCAATTTCAAGCCAAAATTGATTAGAAGAAACAAATTGGTTAAGTGAACCAACCCACTGGAAGAGATAGTAATTATTATAAACATCTATGCATCAAACACAAGCATACACAACCTCTTAAATTAATCAACATGAAAAATCATATAAACACCAATACAGTTGTAATGGAGGTCCTATGATTGATTACAAATGGATAGATAAACTAGACCAAAAAAGTCGCCAAATAAATATCAAAGTTGAACCAAATATTCA